GGCTCAGAGTGTTTAATATTAATATATGTCTTAGTTAAATTATAAAACATTAAAAGAAAGAATGAAGGGCTACTTTTTTAGGCATACAGTCAGGAAAAAAGTCACTTATAAGGGGAAAATTCAAACTGGCCTCATATTTCTGCCCAGGAAAAGAAGGAGCCAAACCACATGCTATGGTTAAGAAGGAGAAATCCAAGAGTGTTGGAGCTCGCCAAGAAATGGTTCTGCTGTAAAGGAGCTGAGGGTCTTAAACATCCAAAACCCTTCTTGGGAAAACAGCTCAAAGATGAAATCCAGTCCATTAAGAGATGACTTGAAATAAAGAACTTGTTAGTGGGGAAGCCTGGGTAAAAGTGAGGAGTCTCTAATTGACTTAACTCTAGAATGCACACCAACTATGCAATTATGTTTTAATGTGACAGAAAGTGATTATCATAAACCTGAATAGTATAACAATAAAATCGGCAACAAGACTTAGAAGACAAAGGAGATCATGAAAAGATACAAAGAATCAGGGCCCTGAGACTGGATATTATAGGGGCTGACCCAAATCAATCCCCAGCACCACATCTGGTCCCCTGAGCACCTCCAGGAGTGACCCTGAATGGACAGCCCAGAATAGCTCCTGAGTACCACCCAGCATGTACTCCAACGCCCCTCCTCTGAGAATCATGAGCACACTTACACATTATACATATAAACACACAGGTATAATTAAAATTTGTAATTAAAAATTATTGAGGGGTTGAAGAAATAGAACAGCAGGAAGAGCGCTCGCCTTGTATGTGACCAGCCCGGATTCAGTCCCTTGCATCCCAGATGATTCCCTAAGCACTGCCAGGGGTGATTCTGCACACAGAGCCAGGAGTACCCCTGAGCATCACCAGAAGTCGCTCTAAGCCCTAAATAATAATAATAGTAATAGTAATAGTAATATAAAGGGGTTGGGAATGTGGTTCAAGTGGTAGAGCATATGCCTAAAATGTATGTGGCCCCAAGTTTGAATCCTGGCACTGTAAGTTTCCCTGAACACCACCAGTTATAGCTTGGGTAGCCACTGAGCATCTCTGAGTGTGGCCACTAGTGAAAAATAAAAAAATAATTCACGTGAAAAATCTAACATCTTTTTTGGGGGTAGGAGACACTGCACAGGGTCTACTCCTGGCTCTGAGCTCAGGCTGGTGCTCGGGGAACCATATGTGGTCACAGGGATGGAACTAGGAAGGATGGCATGTAAGGCAATCAAGCTCCTTAACACCCTGTACTCTCTTTGGCCCCTGAGGTCTTTTCTTTTCTTTTCTTTTCTTTTCTTTTCTTTTCTTTTCTTTTCTTTTCTTTTGGGCTATGGCCAGTATGCTCAGGGTTACTTCTGTCTCTCTCCTCAGATATCATTCCTGGTGGGCTTGGGGACCATATGGAGTGCTGGGGATTGAACCTGGGTCAGCCGCGTGTAAGGCCAAAGCCCTACCTGCTGCACTATCACTCCAGCTTCCGAAGGTCTTTTTAAACAAATTTATTTGGTTTGGGGTCCACGCCCGACCATGCTCAAGGCTTGCTCCTAGCTCTGTACTCAGGGATCACTCCTTGCAGAGCTTGGGGATCATATTGGGGTGCCAGGGATCAAACCTGGGATGTCTGCTTGCAAGACAAGTGCTCTACCTGCTGTACTATCGCTCTGGCCCCTCACTTAGTGTTTTTCACAGGGCTTTTCTTTTGTTTGTTTGGGGGCCCCACTCTGCAGTACTTAGGGGTTGCTCTTGGTGGGCTGAGATAGGGAACTCCAGCATTCCAGCTGTCTGAATCATCTCCCAACCCCGAAGTTTTGTCTAACCTCAGAGCTATCTTTTAGGAAGTAATATGGCTTGTGGTCAAGAAACATTATTTGCAGTTCAATCCTTCCTTCAGTTTCACTTCAACTTCAACTTCTTTTAGATTCAGGTAATATTAAGTCAGGTAATTAAAAAATTAAATAGCATTTGTAGGGCTGTAGCTTCACTGACCTAGCATTTGCGAAATTCTAAAGCATCTGTAATATGATCCAGTTCTTACAAAATGTCTTTATATTTCCTCCATCTGTAAATATGCATAGAAAGTTTTCTAGGACCAATAAATGGCTCAACGGGATTGCCAGAGGTCCCAGTTTCAATCCCTGGCACCACACAATCCCCTGAGTACTACTGGTAATAACTCATGAGTACTGAGCCAGGAGCAGTTCCTGGTACTGTTAGGTGTGACTTCTCTCCCAAGAAAAGGAAAGAGGCAAACCAGAGCAATAGTACAGCAGATGCGGCACTTGCTTTGCATGTTGACCCGGGTTGGATCCCCAGCATCTCCTATGATTCCCTGAGCCTATCACGAGGATGCTTGAGCATAAAGTCAGGAGTAAGCCCTGAGCACTGCTGGGTGTGGCTCTCTCCCACCTCCTGCACACACACAAAGGAGGGACTGAAGAGTTAGCACAAAGGGTGAAGTGTTTGCCTCGCATGCATCCAAACCTGGTTTTGTCCCCAGCACTGCTAATGGTTCCCTGAGTACCACCAGGAGTGATCCTTGAGTGCAGAGCCATAAGTGAAACCTGAGCACTATCAGCTGTGGCCCAAAACCAGAGACAGAGAGAGAGAGAGAAGGGGAGGAGAGGGGAGGGGAGGAGAGGAGAGGAGAAGGGAGGGGAGGGGAGGGGAGGGGAGGGGAGGGGAGGGGAGGGGAGGGGAGGAGAGGAGAGGAGAGGAGAGGAGAGGGAAGGAAAGAAAGAGATTGGAAGAAATCCTTCTCTAATGATGCAATATAATGGTCTTTTAATTAAAAAATTATTTTTAGTAGAACAAGTTTTTCAGGCATGGTATCAGAAAATGATATGTAGAAACAAAGTTGGAGGCCTGAGAGACAGTACAGTGGGTAAGCTGCTTGTTTTGCACACATTTGAGCTAGGTTCTGTCGCCAGCACCCCATATGGTCCTTTGAGCCCCTCCAGGATTGATCCCTGAGCTTAGAGACAGGAGTAAGCCCTGAGTACCTCCAACAATGCTCCTCTACCCCCCATAAAGAGAACCAATTTGGTAGGCATTGCTGCTTTCTCCTAACACCTTCCTCTTCAATGTTAACATTTTATGAAAGTTTCAGGCGCAAGTCTGATGGTTGGAACAAAGACCTGCTTCCCAGCTCTGGCCAATAGCCTGAAAGCAGCTGTGCCATGTGGCAGCTTCTGGAATCATTCAAGAGTGTTTACTCATTTTCTCTTTATCACTTTCATTCCCTACCATGGCCTGGAATGCACATTTCACCATGACCATGAGATCAAGGTCTTTCAAAAGCCAAGTGACAGAGTGGCATATATAGAGTGTCACATCACCTAGCCTGCCTTTCTGGACAATGGGAGGAGAAAAGAAACACTGTAGAAGCAAACGCTCGCTCAGAAACGAAGTCTGAGATACTACATCAGTGCAGAAAGAGGAAACACACACACACACACACACACACACACACACACACACACACACACAGAGTTCCATACAGGGCCTCTGGGCTTGTGATATGCTAGATGCATTCTGGGGCCTTCAGGCTCAGGGAACTCCTCTCAGTTTACCGGACCACACAGGCCTTCCCCCGCACTGCACAGAACTGGAAGCTGGTTGCCCTCGGCTCATGCTGGAAGGTCTGCCTCTTATTTCCTTAGGGTTTTTAACCATAAAATTTAGATTTGTTTTTACTAGAGTTACAGGGCTACATCTAGGGGTGCTCAGAGACCGTGTGCTGGCAGAGACTGACCCCAGCCTGTGCGTGCCAGGGACGCGCTCCAGCACTTTGAACCACCTCCCCATCAAACCTTTCCACAAAGACATGCTTTCCAATCTCAAATTCATTAAAAAATTCTGCTTCTTATGAAGTTTTTATACTATTTTGGTCACATTTGCCTCATCCATGATGTGTGTGTGTGTGTGAGAGAGAGAGAGAGAGAGAGAGAGAGAGAAAGAAAGAGAGAGAGAGACAGAAGAGACAGAGACAGAAAAACAGAGGGAGAGATAAAGAGAGACAGAGAGGGGGGGGAGAGAGAGAGAGAGAGAGAGACTCAGAAGAGCACTCAAATGCTCCATCAGATAACACCTCGCCTCTTGTGAAAAATGATGGTGCTGTCGCCCAGGGTCCTCCTGGGTAACTCTGACTCCTTCTATCCTTCTGAGCAGCATCTGTGTGAAGGGTGGGTCTGCCCTGAACCTCTGCCAGGATGAGGTCAGTGGAGGAGCAGAGGCAGAGCTTCTTATTCCTAAAGGGACTGTGTAAAGATAGAAGGAAAGAAGGGGTTCTCCGGAAGTTTAGGTCTGGGTTTTATATGCAGTCAGGAAAGGAACTCCCTTTCCCACTGCTGGCCCCCACCCCCAAGGCCCACAGCCTGCGCAGAAAGGTTAGTTTCTGCGCCCACGTGGGGTAGTGAGATTAGCAGTGAGCCACGGTGCACGGGGATCTTGGGTCCAATTTGCAGAGAGCCCAGACTGTATGAAAGCCCCAAGCCCCGGAGTCAGGCTGGGTGCAAATCCCAAACGATCTGATGCTCGGGCCGTCGCGGAGCTCAGCTTTTTGTTGTGGTAGCAGCCGAGGATCCCGGGCCGAAGCGCGCATCCTGAGCGCGCGTTGCGCAAGGAGCCAAAAGCTGGTCTGGCGCCGGTGAAGGCCGCCCGGCCCGACGCGCGGGTCCCGCCCCGGGTGCCGCCCTGGCTCCCGCCGGAGCATCAGGTGGGGCCCTGCGTACCCGCACACGGCTGAGCGGCCTCCCCGGGCCGGATCTGCCGCTCGCCCAGCCGGCACTCGGGTCGGGGGTCCCGTCGCCCTTCGCCGGCTTGGAACCGGGTGCAGGCGGCCGGATCGGGCTGGGACACGCTCCGGGGCGCGCGCGGCTCCCCTCTCTCTCCTGGCCAGAGAAGGAGCTTCCCGGGGCACGGCCTCCCCCAGGGCCACGCGGCAGTCCGGGCGGCCCCCGCCCGGGTCTCCCCCCCAACCCCACCCCCACGCCGCCCCCCCCGATGCGCGGACTACAAATCCCGGCAAGCCCCGCCGCCGGCACCTCCCCGCCGCGCCCGCCGAGCCCCCCGGCCGTCCCAGCGGCGGGGCTGGGGCTGCGCGCGTGGCCGGGCCGGGCGGGGAGGCCGGTCCCGCGGGCGGGGGCGGCTCCCGGTTCTCCCGCCGCCGCGGCCCAGGGGAGTTTCCAGGAAGTGGCCATATTGGATCCATTCAGCCGCAGCCGCCCGGGCGCAGCGCGCCCCGCAGCCCGCGCGGACCTCGCCATGGCGGCCACCGAGCTGGAGCGCCTCCCGGTAAGGGCCCCGCGGGGCAGCGGCGCGCGCGCGGGGGCGCCAGCCGCGCTGTCACCCCCCGGTCCCGGGGCGCCGCGCGTCGGGCCGGCGCGCCTTGGCGGGGTCGTCGGGAGCGCCGGGGCGCGGGCGAGGCGCACCCGGCTGGCGGGCAGGAGCGGGATAAACAGCTGCCCGCCTCCGGCCAGGTGCGAGCACCGAGCGGGGCGCGGGCTGGGGAGCCGGCGCCCTCCGGACCCCCGGACCCCCATCGCCCCCGGTCCTCGCTTTCTGCGCGGCCCGAGCGACTCCGCGCCGCGCAGGTGCTGTTGGATGGGCACCGCCGGGGAGGATGGATCCCCAGAGTCCGAGGAGTGCCCGCTGCGAGCTCGGGACGCTTGCAGACCCGCGTCTCCGAGACCCCCGGAGTCCGTTCTCCCGACCCCCGCCGCCTCCCCTTCCTCTCCCGTGCACTCCGCCGCCCCCACTCCTCCCCGCAGCTCCGGAGCCCCGGCCCCGGGGGGTCGGCTCGGAGGCTGCCATTCCCGGGGAACTGGAGCGATTCCAGACTCAGCCCCGCCGCGTGTTTGTCTGGGCCCCGGTCCGGCGCTGCCTTCTGCGGGGCCAACGTCTAGGGTGGTCCCTGCAGGGGTCGCTCTGGGCCCGAGCCAGCCAATAGGCAACTTCCTAAATGTTTTTCTAATTCACCCGGAGGAGGGGGAGGCCTTTTGGGGATAGAGTCTGCATGTCCCCTGGTGTCGCCGCTTGGTTCTGGGTGTGTCTGGGAGGCTGGGCTGTGACAGTGAAGGAAACTGTGTCTTCTGGCCAGCCAGAGAGGCCCTGGTCGGCGCGGGGAGGGTCCCCCGCCCCCGTTGGGGGGAGGAAAGGGGGGACGCCGAATTTGTGACCGGCAGGGAATCGGTTCTGGGACTAAATAAAGGAGCGGGGGTACTTATGTAATCAATGCTATAAATACCGCCATCTGAATTTATGCATGTAAATTTACCCTCTTTAAACTGAAAATACATTTTTGGGTCTACTTTGGAAATCACTGCATCACTGAAACAAGCGTTCTCGGTTTCATAATTTTTGGACTGGTGTGTCTGATTCCAGTTGAGGAGGGGGCTGTGAGTCAGTTAAGTTAAGCATAGAGGGAGCAGATTACCAGGCTGGGGCCCGCAGAAGCTTCCTCTTAATGCCTCTGGAAGTTGGCATTAACTGTGCGTGAATGCCCAAGCCTTACCAACCCAGCTGCCCAGCTGATGGCCAGGAGGCCTGTGCACGCTTGACATCCTTGTGTACATGCCTCATACATTTTCTGTGTCCTGTTAACTGAAAAGTTGTGTTTGGGTCTTGTCTGTCTGGGCCAGAGGTTGCACGGTCTGTTGGTCCTGCAGGGCCTCTGCCCACTGTGGCATGTAGAGTAACCAGAATCCTCTGCCTCCTTTGAATCCTCCACTCTGACTGGTTGGCCATGTGACCTTGGGCAAGTTTTTTAACCCTTCACAGTGCTGCCCAGTGTGTGTTACAGGAGAAAAATCCCCCCTTAGAGTGTTCTTAGAAGGGTTCGGTGAGAGAAGGCAGATGAGGTGCGTGGAGCAGTGTGTCACGTGGTAAGGACACAGGACACCTGTGTCCAGGTGGATGTGACAGCTGGCTGTCTGTCCAGGAAGGCAGCAGAGAGCATGTCTGTTCCTGGACGGGACGCTCTCCCCACGGGCTCCATCTCTGCCTGGCCCCAGGGCGATTGTTTTCCAGACTGAGCTGACAGTCTGCTTGGCAAGACCCTGCCCTCACATTCCCTGGCTTGTCTCAGACTTGCTTTGAGGATTTGGGTGGAATTTCCCCTGTGATAGGCGAGGCAGAGAGGGACCAGAGAGGGACCTGATGCAGGTGTAGGTGTGGAGCCAGTTTAGGACCTTGGTTACGTGGTTGCCATCCAGGTTAAGCTGGCTGCCTGGCTCCCACGCCCACCACACCCTTTGTGCTCTGGGCCATCAGCCTCCTGGGAGGACTCACCCTGGGTTGAATTTGGGTGGGAACCTTGGGTGGAGCTTGGCCTGAATTTAGGAGTCTGCACTCCATTCTCCTCTCCGGGCTTGTCATCCTGGGAAAATCATTTCTTCTTTAATCTCACATGAAATGGACACAACCCATGCTGTTGCTCTTCAAAGGGCTGGTGGAAGGTTAATAGCAGCCTAGGACATGTGTGGAGATAAGCACATAGGTACCGTGTCTGATCGGGCTGCACTTTGGAGTTAAGTGGGGGCTGTGAGTCTGTGATGGGCTACAGCTACCACAGGTCCATGCCACCCCTCCAGCACACTGTGACCAGACTTGCCTTGGGGGGAGGGGGTGTAGAACAGGGAACTGACCAGCCTGGAGCTTCTAGGAGCATCCAGCATTCTTTGAGGTCATTGTGTGCTGTGTTTCTGTTCTCCACATAGCATGAAGCTGACACCAGGGGCCCTACAGCCTTTGCCCCCAGCTAGGCACAGCTCCACACACCCTGAGCGATGTGCATGGGACTCCCTCTGGGGGGCTCACATACCCCTTATCCTGCCCTTACCAGATCCTGGACTCTGGGGCTCACCTCTTCCTCCTACTGGGCTCCATCTCCTGTCAGAATCCCAGGGTCAGGGCTGTAGGCCAGGGGAGCCCCCAGCAGCCGGGACGGCGGGGCTCTGCGGGGGAGGAAAGGCACGTGCAGCATGGCAACCTCATGCCTGGCATGCCTCCCAGCCAGTCTGTCCCCCCCCCCCCGCCCCCCATTCCTGCTTTATACCCAGCACCATCTGTCACTTCCGTTGTCACCCCTGTAATCTTGACACTTCCCCAAGAAGCAGGCTCTCCAGCTAGGCGCCTGTATCTCCCCGATCAGAAGCTGGTGGCTGGGGATGTGGGAGGGAGTTATCTCACCCGGGCACTCTGTCACAGAGACAATGGCCAGTCACCTCTTCTCTGAGCTGATCCACGAGAAGTGAGAGCTGGGCAAGGACAGCTGGGAGCCCCCCGGTGCTGGCCCCTGCTGAGGTCTGGCCCTTCCTCCTCCTGCCATGCCATGGGGCTGGGCTTGGATAGCCCAGGGGAGCCCGGTGTGTGTGGGGGGATGCAGAGAAGAGGGTGGGAAGGCTTGGGTGGTCCCAGGGTGCATGGGATAGAGGACTGATGGGGGCACAGCAAGTGTGCTGTGTTGGGGAGACGGCTCATGATGCCAGTGAGATGGGAAAGTATTCATGGGGTTGGGGGCCAGGGCAAGACCCTGGGCGCTTTGTACCCATCACCTTGTTGGAGCCCATCACTTAACTATTGCATAAGAGGCATACTCTGGTCATTGGCAAGCATGGACCCAAGACCCCACCACAGCACCCAAATTCCCCTGCATGCTGGGCCTTCGGATGGCCTGGGTCGGGGAGTACTACATGAGCCTCTGGGGCTCAGGTCCAAGCAGCTGCAGGATGGCCACATGAGGCCAGTGAAGGTGCTGCTTTGGGGTATCCCCCGAAGCTTCCTCAGCCCGCCATCATCTGCATGGCCCCAAAGGGGCACACTGTGTGAGTGAGCTGATGTGGAGCTGGGTGTGGCAAGTGTGCAGGTGGCGGTTGACACCTGATCATCCTTTTTGGCAGACCAACGCGTGTCCACTGGCTCTCTAGCGCTGGGAAGAGGCAGTGGAGCACAGGATAGGGGAGCAGCCTGGGGGCTCTTGGAACTAATCAAGTATTTTTCTTTCTCCAAACACATGTCTGCCTGGTAGTTCTTGGTCTCTATCCTGGGGGCCACTTTAAAGGGCAGAACAGGAAGGAGAGAAAAGGGGTCCATTTCAGATCATAAGTGCTTGCTATTCTGAGGTCTCACTAGTTATTCCATATAAAGACTACTACACCTTAATCTCTCTGTACCATTTCTCTGGCCCCCTTTGCTTGTTTGTTTTTTCAGGGTGGGGACACACCCAACAGTGCTTAGGGATCAAAGAGTGGAGGCAGGTGTTTGTGTTGGGGGGGTGGAGAATCTAACCCAAGTTCCTGCATCAAAAGTTTGTGTTCAGCTGGCTCGCCGGCCCCTTCTTTCAGATGTCTGCTTCGCCTTAGGAGAGAGGGACTTTGTGACTGGGATGATAGTACAGCAGTAGGGCACACTGCCAACCTGGGTTTGTTCCCCAGCACCCCGAGCCCCATGAGGTGTGACCCCTGAGTGTAGAGCCAGGAGTAACCCCTGAGAACCACCAGGTTGCAAACCCCCTCCTCCTGTACCCTGACGCACACCCCAGAAAAAGAGAGAGGGGCTTTGCATCCCCAGGTGCCCTGTTGTTCGGCACAGGTAGTCCTGCCGCCTGCTCCCCTCTGGCCCGGGGGAGCCGCTTTCCCAGCGCTGCCCTCCTGCACAAGTCTCGGTCATTTCCCGTCACCTCTGACCTGGATTTAGAGACTTGCTGTGGAATCCTGGGACCAGAGCCTGAGTCTTTCCTGGGAAAATTCCTAGGATTCCTCTCCAGCTCAAGGACAGTTACACTGTGACCATGGTTCTGGCCAGAGGCCCCTGGCTGGGTAAGACCCCGGCTGCTTGGAGTAGCTCAAGCCGGGGCTGTGGTGGGTGCCAGGAGCCTGGCGGGAGAAGGTACCAGTGATGCCAGCATTCCTGGGCTCCTTGCTCAGAGGCCGAATAGCCATTCCTCGCAGGGTGGGGGCTCTCCTGGGGAATGAGCTTCCTGTCTGCTGGTCAGGGCGCTGGGGCATGTGACCCCAGTGGGAAAAGGGTATCCAAGATCCCAGGCACCAGCGAGCTCTGGCAGGCCTAGGTCAGGGGACTGCGCTTTGTCTGAGATTAAGAAGCTGAGTGCTGCTGGTGGCTCATCACCTCATTCCCAGCCCAGCCAACCTGGTTTGAGAGGTGCTTTCAGGAGCCTTTATCCCCCCCACAGCTCTGGGGCACAGCCGGTTCTGACCCGCAATACTTCCCCGTTCTCTCTCAATACAAGTTGGTTAGTGTCCAGGCTGGAGACTGGTCTCTTCCCACATCCTACC